ACGTACACCCATAACGTGTGTATTGATTCTATTTGTTGGTCTAAATCTGGCAACACATACATGTAATACCTCTTTAATACTTTGATCAATTATGGAAGAGTGTTTTGTCATTTTCGGAGATTTTGTCAATATTTCACAATTAGGAATCGTGGTTGACGTGCAGCATTCTTTTTTCGCGCTTTGTTATATTACTGATCGAAATCTCCGACTCCACGCAATTGGGAAGCATCGATAGGAAATTACTGTATCCCGTTGTCACGGTGATAATTGTCGCCATGGCAACAAGTGATTTCCATCACTCCATTATTTCCATAAGTGTGCTTTCTTATAAACCTGTTCTAAAAAGGGAACAGAGGGGGAACAGCACGTCACAGCCAATATATTAAAGATGCGAGATTACATTTGCCCGATAGTTAATTACTTTTCCAGTGCGAGTCAAGCAAGTGATATCCGTTGTTAGCCTTATTTTAGGTCCGATATTCGGAACCGCGGGCTAAAATCTATATGAAGTCAAATAAATATGTGGATTGCAAAGATCATAAAAAGAGCATTTATTTTGTTTAGCTTCCTCGTGCAGTGCCTGCATTGTATACCGTGGCAACCAGTATTAAACCCAGTGCGGTGCTCTCCGATACACGATGACTCATGGCCATGTGGTTCCCAAGAATATCAATATAACTTAATAATTAATGCGCTGTGTTTGATAACGTCCAGTCCAAAAAAATATATCGACATAATCGACAATCTCTCTAGATTTAACTAGAGGGAATAAACACAGTGTATAACATGTTTCAACATGTTTAGATTAGGTGGACGTTGTGTTTAGGTAGTGGGCTGTGAAACGATAGCTTTTAGAACCTAAACAACTGAAAATATGCATCTCCATCAATCATACATATATGGCAATATCTGATCATGCATTGTCACTGTCACCATCATGTAACAAGTTACAGTCGTCACCCAAGATATGCATTTGAATTGTAATAAAAGTATTCTTAGAAGAACTGTGAACAACATGCTAAGAACATAATACCCACGTAAGAATCTTACAATAATGGTTATCATCAGTCAGTGTAAAGGTTATCAAAAGTTTTGTTTGATTATTGTTTAACGCCACATTCAGCAATATTCCAGCTATATGATGGCGGTCTGTAAATAATCGAGTCTGGACCAGACAATCCAGTGATTGATATCATTAGCATCGATCCACGAAATTGGAATCGATGACATGCATCAACCAAGTCAGCGAGCCTGACGAACGAACGCTTTAACCACTGGGCTACTCAATCATGTGGGTCATAATACTATTTTTTGCAAAAAAACTATTTGGGCGTCAGAGAAGGACGGTTATGCAAGAAACGAGAAACCGTCAGGGAGGCCATTCATTTATTTTCACTCTTCCAGCTGAGCAATTTCTCACCGTATTTGCACTGAATATAATCACAATCAAGAATATAAATGAATGAATGAATGAATGAATGAATGAATGAATGAATGAATGAATGAATGAATGAATGAATGAATAAATAAATAAATAAATAAATAAATAAATAAATAAATAAATAAATAAATAAATAAATAAATAAATAAATAAATAAATAAATATGATTGTGACAGGTCAATTATACTTCCAGTCTTTACCTTTATTTATATACCAACACGCCGCTCACGTGACTTAGAAAACACGATTAAGCCGTGACATGTTATTACAGATGAGTTGTTTTCTGATCGTCCCATGTGTGAGGGCGTTATGTCTGATATCACCACCATATAACGTCAACTGCCATGAGACAGACAGCCGTATTGTGTCAAGCCAGCGCGGGGTCATAATGACATATTTCCGTTACCATGGTAATCATACAGAAAATCAATGTGTTTACAATAATAGTAACAGACAATTGATGCAGATTGGGTTAAAAATACCGACACTTTGGAAAATAGATAATTCGGCTATTCTTAAAGGGAAAATTAATATTTGTTTTATTATTTTATGAAACAGCTCTTTGGGGTTTGTACTATATCGTTGATCAAGCTACCCTAAGTTATGTAGGATATTTAGAAGATGAAAAGTACCATGCATGAACGCATGATATAAATATTACATACATACATACATACATGCACGCACGCACGCACGCACGCACGCACGCACACACGCAAACACACACACACACACACACACGCGCGCGCGCGCACGCACGCACGCACGCACGCACGCACGCACGCACGCACACACACACACACACACACACACACACACACACACACACACACACACACACACACACACACACACACACACACACACACACACATACATACATACATAGAGACCCTGAACCGCAACGCTCTCAGAATTCCCCAGGGAGTGATACGGATCTTTCCAACATTTAGACCCTAAACACGTTCAGCTGTTAAAAGGAGTCCTAACCTTGTTTAGGCCTAAACGCTTGCAATTATGAGACAGGGAACATGTTTAGTTTTGTGTTTAGGATCTAAACACATTTTACAATGTAACGCAATAAGGACACACACACACACACACACACAAAGACATTCTCTTAATGATGACAACTCGAATTGTTCCCAAATATGTTTCAATTTTATCTTCTTCTTTTATATATATAATGATTGAAGATGATAATTCTTTCAAACGTTTAAACAAATGTCAGCCTTGAGATACAGTTATCTGAGTTATTTAATGTACAGGAGATACCATCTTCCCGAGGCAAGGGAGTTAACTGACTATAAAATTCCAGTTCCTTCCTTGTCGAACTAGGCTGCAATTATGGTGTTACATTTTGGTTGGACAAACGAGTCTATATATAGTCCAATCAAAATCGCGTTACGAAATCAACATCCGGTTCGTAAACTGCCGTGCAGATTTCGGTCGACTGCAGGATTTGCAAAACATGTGTACCGTCAACTTAGCGTCAACAGATATTTTCCAAATCTTTTCAAGTTTGTAATCAAGGTGCAAATTGATTTGATGCATTTCGCGAAGTAAGGCCCGTTATTACGATATAAAGCTTGATTACCGATCGGATCGCTTTCACTTGGCGCCGCAATTTTGATTGAAACAAATGCAAATTATATCAGAGGTGGAATCTGATTGGTCAATAGGATGGACATAACTCGCAATAGCCACTGGTTGCGCTACGATCGAACCCAAAAATTCTGGTCTAGTTCGTCAAGGGTGGAAACTGGACTTTCATAGTCAGTTTACTCCCTTTCCTCGGGAAGATGAGGAGATACCAATATATATAAGTAGGTCAAGATTGTAGATGATAATTATTTTAAACGAATAAATAAATGCCAGCCTTGAGATACAGTTATCTGAGTTATTGATACAGTAGATACAAACCTATAATACTGTTGTCTACCCGAACAGGTCTTAACAACCTTAACATGCCTTTCTCTACCTGGATAGACCTCGGCAACTAAAATATACTGTTGTCTACCCGAACAGGTCTTAACAACCTTAAAATGCTTTTCCCTACCTGGACAGACCTCGGCAACTGAAATATACTGTTGTCTACCCGAACAGGTCTTGACAACCTTAACATGCTTTTACCTACCTGGACAGACCTCGGTAATTGAAATATACTGTTGTCTACCCGAACAGATCTTGACAACCTTAACATGCTTTTACCTACCTGGACAGACCTCGGCAACTAAAATATACTGTTGTCTACCCGAACAGATCTTGACAACCTTAATATGCTTTTACCTACCTGGACAGACCTCGGCAACTAAAATATACTGTTGTCTACCCGAACAGGTCTTGACAATATTAACATGCTTTTACCTACCTGGACAGACCTCGGCAACTGAAATATACTGTTGTCTATCTGAACAGGTCTGACAACCTTAACATGATTTTCCCTACCTGGACAGACCTCGGCAACTGAAATATACTGTTGTCTACCCGAACAGATCTTGACAACCTTAACATGCTTTACCTACCTGGACAGACCACGGCAACTGAAATATACTGTTGTCTACCCGAACAGATCTTGACAACCTTAACATGCTTTTACCTACCTGGACAGACCTCGGCAACTAAAATATACTGTTGTCTATCTTAACAGATCTTGACAACTGGACCAACATTCAAAGCACAGACAATACAATTCTCCTTTCCCGCAATCAATGCACATACAACACAATCAGCCACTAATCAATGCAAAAACAACACAATTAACTACTTATCATAGCACAAACAACATAATCAGCCACTAATCAAAGCACAGACAACACGACCAACCGTCAATCAATGAACAGACAACACAATCAACCACTAATCAATGAATATACATTATCAAACATCAATCAATGCAGAAACAACATAATCAACCACTAATCAAAGCACATACAACACAATCAGACACTAATCAAAGCACAGACAACATAATCAGACACTTATCAAAGCACAGACAACATAATCAACGACTAATCAAAGCACAGACAACACAATCAGACACTAATCAAAGCACAGACAACACAATCAGACACTAATCAAAGCACAGACAACATAATCAGGCACTAATCAACGCACAGACAACTGAATCAACCAACAATCAAAGCACAGACAACACAATCAGCCATCAATAAACGGACAGACAACACAATTCACCAAGAATGCACAGACAACACCGTGTGTCGTGAGAGGCGACTATAGAGGATCGGTTGGTCCAACTTGGTGACTTGGCTCATTGTGTGTTTCCGGCTCTTGATGACGTGTTTTGCTTGGTCCAGACTTGAATAGTTACAGGCCGCCGCGATATAGCTGTAATCAATCTTGCTGCAGCGTTAACTCACTCACTCACTCACTCACTCACTCACTCTTTCACTCACTCTTTCACTCACTCACTCACTCACTCACTCACTCACTCTTTCACTCACACACTCACTCACTCACTGTAATATCCCGTCACGGTGGCCGTTTCAAGAATCTATGACATCTAGTCTAACACATTAAGCATTGCCACATCACTCACCTTCTTGGAGAGTCTGACAGCGCCCCCATCCCCGAGATTGTAGGCGACCCCATCTGTCCCCGCAGGTGTCAACGCTGCCGGGGTGGCAGGTCCTTTAATGTTTAGCATCAGCTTCAAGGTGGCAGCAGTGTCCGCAAACGTCATGTTCGCCATCTCCACAACCACTCTCACGTCTCCCTCCATCACTGTCGTATTTTCCCCGTCTATTGCGATGTTACCGCCCTTGGTAAACAATTCAATGTTCACCTTGAACGTTCCTTCAAAGACAGGCGCAGTGCCTACCAGACGCTTAAAAGTAATGTTTACGTTAGTCTCTGCAGTCTCGTCTGTCTCACTTCCAAACGTGAACATTGCTGCAGGCAGAGTGTTGTTTAGGCCAGCAATTGTAGCATTATCAGCTTTGACCTGCTGAAGATCCGCGAACATTACAGTCAGTTTATTTTCGTCTTTGGAAATGTTGCTCTGTTTGGAGGCCATTAGCGATTTTGTCATAAATTCCACGTAAGTGTTAGTGGTGTTTACTTCATAGGACATGTCTGCGGTACAGGCCGCCATACACAACACCAACACGGCCAAACTCAACTTCATCATCGTGGTTAAATACTACACAATGTATCACGGGTACAGTCCAAGTGTCTCTCGCCTCTAGACGTCTCTAGATGTCTTGGTGATGTGGAGGTTGTTATCGCACCGGTAGACGCTCCCAGCAATGTACAATTACCTTTATTACCTGCACAAACCACGTGTCCCGTCCCACAGGTGCAAAATACACCGCCGCTCTCTCATTGGCTGTCCTGCCTCGCAGCGATTGGTTATTTATTATCAAAGCGATCGCATCGACCATGAACAGAGGCCTCATTTTCACATTCTAGAAAGCATGGGTGGTTGAGTTACACCAGAACACGGAAAGGAAATTGGGTGGACTCATCACATGTATTAAAAAGTAGAGTACGGCTTGAAAAAACGCGTGACTTTGTTGGAGCATGACATCTGTCGTGTGGTGTATTATTGATGTACAAATATACATATAGAGATTTATATGTGTAGATAAATAGATATACATGTATACATACTAAATTAATAGGTTGCATCTTCGTGACCTAAAAACTTTATGCACACTGTAGACATGTACGGGTACCCCATGTGGTGACAAAGACACGGGGTTGACACGGGATTTGAAATACCAACTCGCTGCATCGATGTCCAGCCACAAACGTGGATACACAGATGTTACCATTAGATCAATACTTGGCATACATTATGTGGATTTCTCTTATTAGTCACCAGATTATTTCTGAACACGCTCATTTGTGAGAATACTGATGCAGCGACATGATATAGTTGTGGTCGACGCCCAAATTTGTTTTTATAAGTCAGTATTTCGCAATATCCTTCAGCCGAGCAGTGTAGTTACATAGACACATATTTTCCTAATCTTTACATGACATTGTTTACAATCAAGGTGCTCAAGTGATCTGATGCACTTCGCGAGGTAAGGCTCGTTATATTAGAATATAGATTTTGATTATCGATCAGATGGTCTTGACTGGGCGCCGCCATTTTGTTTGAAGCAATTGCAAGTGATATGAGAGGTGGAATCTGATTGGTCAGTAGGATGGACATAGCAGGGACATGGCTCGTAATAGCCACAGGTTAGATCCAGCAAGGGTAGAAACTGAACTATATTTCTCATTTAACGCCCTTGCCACGGGAAGATGTAGTCACGACTGTTGCCGAGTTGGTCTTTCATCGCCAACATTTTTTGTAAATCCAAAAAGTAGACCTGACGCACACTGAATTTGATATTTCGTAGCGTTTCGGAACCGTAAATATTTCAGGGAAAACTATTGTAGCCAGCCCACACCTCAGCGTGCCCATCTTTCTGAACTAGTCGGTCCGTAGCGGAAGCGGATCCTGAATTTTGAAAAAAAGAGTGAGGCACATTATAGCCGTGCGCGTGGTTAACGTGTAAGGTGTGTGAAGAAATGAGGTGTGCGCACCCCTATATCGGCTAACAACGAGTTCTAGTCGCGAGTTCAATAGCAAGTAATAGTACGTGCTGGTGTGATTTACCCGGTGACTGAAAACGGCGACAGCAAATTTGCGTAGATAACAATTGAGAAGTATTGTGACAATGAAGAGAATTCATTTGCTGTAAAAATGGAATACTTTTTGTTACCCCAGAGAGCAATAATGAATAGCGTCATGTCATTCATCAAATGATCGTGAAGGTTGAGACCTTAACGTAGTGATAGTTGACTCAACGACATACTCCTTAATTGATCCCATGTGATTGTTTATGGGGTTTCAGCATACTGTGAGCGTAATATTGCTAGCTGGATTTTCACTGAGATATCTGGATGATCATAGCATTAGCTATAGTCTTTATATTCTGATGCGGTTTCTGTATCTGATTAAGTTGGTCCATTGCTGTCCATTTCTCTTTCAACGTTGACTCGTTTACATAACACATGCATCATTGACTCGTGTATATGACACATGCATCATTGACTCGTGTATATAACACATGCATCATTGACACGTATAGCAAGAGAAAAATCAACAAATTTCACTATAAAGTTGGAGATATAGTGAAAATCAGTTATTTGAAAAAAACCTTTAGCAAGGAGCACAACTTGCGTTGGACGGAAGAATTGTTCAAAATTGCCACACGTACACGTCTACAGAACATACCACAGTACTCATTGAAAGATTTTCATGGCGAACCCGTGCGAGGACCATTTTACGAACAGGAGCTTCAGAAGGTCGATATAGATTTAGACGCAGTTTGGAACATCGAAAAAGTGTTGAAAATAAAGCGTGAGAGAGGGAGGGTCTTTTACCTAGCGAGGTGGACTGGCTGGCCATCCAGTTTCGATAGCTGGGTACCCGAAAGGGAAGTGAAAATCGTCTAAACATGGATAAATATGTCTTATTTAGCAGTTCAGATTCCAAGGATTACTTTCCCAATTCACCCTATTGTTTCCGAGTGAAGCTATCTCAACGCCTGCAGCTAGAAGGTGTGTGGTTGGTGGCTTTATTAGAGTTAAAGTTTGGGAAGCTAAACTTGAAAGACATAAACAATTCCACAATAGACCTGATGTGCAATCTGTGCGATAGTTCTCACGTTTGAGAGGGTAATGTCCCTTTGTTAAGACGTGTTGATTTGCGAGACGGCCCCAATTACTATTTCCATCTCTCATGGTACATACCAGTGGTTTTGAAAGACACCTCCGAAATTCAAATCTATATAAAGTGTGCAGAGGGTACGCCACACTCATTTCTGAAAGAAGACGTGAACGTGTCACTTGTCTTGCGTCGCTATCCATTTTTAGAGTGAAACTATGGAACGTAAATTGTATATAGCCGATCCTAGTAAAATCGACCGAAAGGGTCTAACCCACCAGTGGTGAAGGGTCGTCCACGTTCCCAAATCATTTCCATTCTACCCAGAAAGCCTCCAGCGTCAAAATCGAGCAGATCATCGGTCAAATTAGAAGTGACGTCACGCAACCAAGAATTGGTTGAGAGAGCAGAAGCTGCACAGAAGAGAACCAAAGCTATACAAAGGCAAGCAGGTGAAAAAATTGTCACAACGAAGAAAGTTCGTCGTGAAGGAGAGACTAAAAAGCCATCTCTGAAGTTTAACAATACTCCAGCTGTTGGTAAAAAGGACATTTTCCCCCAATAACATGTCGGTACTCACAGAGAAGCAGTTTACAGAAGCTCTCCCTTCTTCTCTGAATTTGTTTGAACTTGATCCCTATCAAACTAGCATCCTACAACATTATTACGACAATGTTCGTCCTCTCTCAGTCTCACGGACTCCAGTCACGTGGAATACCACATTAGCAACGCTGGTAGTGATTACGTCGATTTGCGTCGAACCAGAATTCACGTCAAACTAAGAGTGACCCATGCTGACAATTCGCCTCTCGCTGATAAGGAGAAAGTTTGACCCGTCAACCTGACATTGCAGAGTCTTTGGTCTCAGATCAGTGTTTACCTACAGGGACAGCAGGTGAGCTCGAGCAATGGGGGTTATCCTTACAAGGCCATGATGCAATCCCTTCTGGAGAATGGCATGGATGCCAAGTCCAGTCAGCTTCAAAGCCAACTATTGTACAAAGATACTGGAGACAGTGAGGTGAGGTGAAATGGGGTTTAACGTCGCGTCCAAGATTATTGCACTTATATAGCGACGTGCATGCACGTGTATATGTTACAGGAAACAAGTATAATCAGTGATTAAGTCTAATGACTGAAAATTTCAGTGATTATGTCTAATAACTGATTCACTCGGTGGTTATGTCTAATTACTGAAATCTTCAGTAATTAGACATAATCACTGAAATGAACCAAGGGATTTTATACTTGTTTACTTAAAGCATATTCCTATATGTGTGTGGCTGCTTGTACTAGTCCGGACTGAAGCCGATTTATAGTGCTAGCTCACTGAGATACCATGCCGCAGTTTAACATGAATACCCCACTCAGACACAGTATACTGACTCCGAGCCCAGTCCTTGTTTTGGCCCCTTAATGCCGAGCGCCAGACAGGGTAACAACAAGTACCACATTTTAACGTCTTTTGGTATGACGCGGGCGGACGCTCTACCATTAGACCACGGAGGCGGTTACTGGAGACAGTGTGGCAGATGTAATGACCCTGACCCTTACGGCGGTGGAAACGATGGGCTCATCAACCGCGGAGCTTTCATATCTGGAAGCAAGTCAGTGACCCTGTCCGGTCCCCTTTGTGAAGATGTGTTCAATTTCGATCGACACCTGGTGAGTGGTGTGGATGTCGGCATCAAGCTATTCAGATCCGACACATCCTTCGTCTTGATGTCGGGAGAAAGTAGCAGTGAATATAACATTGAACTACAAGACGTGTACTTGAAAGTATGTAAATAAAAAATTAATGATGCATTCATTAATCCTTGCTCACAAATGCTCTCTACCAATATGAGGGGGCACGGGTGGCCCAGTTGTCTAAGGCACCGCGATTCGCTGTGCAGAGTTGCGTCCCTTAGGCACGCCAGAAACCTATGATTGTGGGTTCGAATCCCGGTTCGTCCCGATTATGTTTCTAGGTTCGTCAGCACCATACCCGTGCTCGTGGGTTTCACCGAAGTGGTAAACGTCCGAGACCTGCATCACTTCGGGCTTTCCTCCAACATAAAGCTGACACGCCATGATATGACCGGAATACTGTTAAAAGCGGCGTTAAACCCAACTCACTCACTAACTCTATCAATATGCGAGGTCCATGGTGGAAATGGTATCAGTCCCATCGTCTCACCTGTCTTACACATGGAACAATATGTTTCTGAATAACATGCCTAGTCGACTCATTGTGTCCCTGGTTAAAGCCGATGGGGTGTGAGGATCCTACACAGTCAACCATTTCTGTTTTGAAGGAGACATTGTCAAAAGCATGGGTCTCTATATGAATGGTACTAGTGAACCAGGACGTCCGCTCGAGACAGACGACATCGAAGCTGACACCAGCCTGAATGACTGGAACAATACATGGCGAAAAGACAAAGGCCTTGGTATTGAACGCACAGAGTTTTCTACTGGCTACGCCCTTTACGTATTCAATCTTCAAGATACAGTCACGGATGGGGACTATCTGAACCTGGTCCGGTCCGGCAATCTCCGTCTGGAAGTACAGTTCACCCAGCCCCTAACCCACACGTTCAATATCATAACCCTAGCCAGGTTCCCGGTCATA